CCATTCTCGAAAGCTGTGAGTGCTGATGTCCTTGCATTGCACTTCCGTGGTACTGCTGCTGATGGCCAGCATGGATTCATTGCTGAGGTATCGAGCATACCCAGCAGTCCCGATTCGGGTAAGTCGAAATTTTCTTTCAAACATAGAATTGTTGCATTTTTTGCTTCGATAGATTTTCGAATAAGGCCTTAAGGATAATCTGAAAATTTGCAGGCGCTGTGGATCAAGTTATTCTGCGAGGGTCACGTATTGACAATAATGATCGAGGAGCTGTCGTCTATCAGAATACTGGTGAAATGAGCCCTGCTGTAGTCATTGGTAAGCAAATTAGCATTCGCCCCAAAAGCCTAGAACTCAGAACCTAAAAACGAACAGTTGCTAAAATTATGCAGTTAAAATTTTCTCTTGCCAAAACCTCTCATACTAAGAAATACACAGAGCAGGATTTTTTTATTCTTCAAAAGGGTTGACCGACTCTTATTGACCTATCCTTATGACTTAGCGTAATAAAGATCGTGTTATAAGTATTATAAGGATCGGCCGATCTCTTGACCGATTCTTATGAAGTGTTACCCTCCCCCACGCGACACACTTGGTAGACTGAAATCCGGTTTTATTGTACTAAACCAAATTTTGCGCCAGAACAACTCTGAATACCACCTCGCTTACGCGGTGCTGGTAGGCTCGCTTATCCTGTATTTTCATAGAGCATCTCATTTCAGTTCTTCATACCTGCTTACATAAAGTGTACATAGATGTGTTTTTGCGAATTTTATGCACAGTCAAAGTCAATCATGTCAGAGGACGATTTACCACCAAGTAATCCCGCCCTAGCGGACAACTAATCCTTACAATTTGTAATCTTGTCACTTTAGAGGTAGTGGAGGGTCGTGATAAGAATGAAGAAGTGTAATAAGCTAACAAACACATTTAAATTCCTTCCTGAGGAGAAATTGGCGTCTTATGTTATGTAAGAAACGCCAAGATGGAAGAGTGTCCGCAGAGGCGGGGTCTCATGGCCGTAAACAGTCCTCTATCCCCTAAACTCACAGTTTGCGGTAGATTAAGTTGTAAGACAAGCCACAGACTTTCTTATGCCTACCTGTTCCTGTAATGCTGGCAATAGATGAATCAAAGTGCTATTCTATTTATGCCTAAGAAGTATGTTGTGCTCACAGTCATAACTTATTATTCTCATCAGTTCTTTCCTTAATTCTAGAAATCAAAATCAACTATTTAAGAATAATTTAAATTATTCTACCGATTCTTAGTTTCTGAAATTGATTGTTCCAGAGGAATGCTCGCTCAGCCGAAATGGCATACATCTTTTCGGAAATATATCTACGTCCGAACATGCTGTGGAACTTCATCTGCACAATACCATGGTAAAACACCA